TCTAGCTCTGATTTAAAGGAACCCAGGGTTTTAGCTTGCACTACACTAACAGGAAGACTATTCCATACTCTAACTACACGCTGTGTAAAGAAGTGCCTTCTCAAATCAATTTTAAAATGTTCTCCCGTTAATTTCCACTTATGGCCACGAGTCACGAGTATTTAACTAATATTGAAGTAGCCATTTGGCTGAACAGCATCCAGACCTGTTAGAATCTTATATACCTGGATCATGTCCCCCCTTTCTCTCCTTTGCTCGAGGCAGAACAGATACAGCTCAGCTAATCTCTCCTCATAAGATATTCCTCTAAGACAAGGCATCATTCTTGTAGCCTTTCCCAAGGCAGCAATGTCCTTCTTAAGGAGCCTGCACACAATATTCTAGGTGGGGTCTTATTAAGGTATAATATAATCTTAGCATCACCTCCCTTGACTTAAACTTCACACACCTAGAGATGTAACCCAACATCCTATTGGCCTTTTTAATTGCTTCCCCACACTGGCAAGAGTCGGACATGGAAGCATCAACATACACACCGAGGTCTTTCTCATAATCAGCTACCTTTATTTCAGTGGAACCCATAAAATATCTGTACTTTATATTTCTGCTCCCTGCATGGATTACCTTACATTTATCTATGTTAAATTTCATCTACCAGGTATCAGCCCAGTCGCTAATTAAATCAAGATCCCGTTGTAGCCTCTGTGCTGCTAGTTCGGTATCTGCTACACCATCCACCTTGGTGTCATCTGCAAATTTAACCATTTTACTGTATGTATTGGTGTCAATATCATTATTGTAAATTAGGAACAATAGTGGTCCTAAAATTGAACACTGTGGTACACTACTATGAATGCAGGCTCACTGTGACATTGTGCCTCTAATAACTACTCGCTGCATCCTGTCTGTTAACCAGTTAATATAACCAGTTAATATTAATATTTGCGATCCAAGCTGCTACAGGTCCTAAAATTACTGCAGCTTTGAGCTTTACCAGGAGCCGTTTGTGGGGGACAACATCAAAGGCCTTCTGGAAATCTCAGTAGATCACATCGTAGGCCTTTTTGTGATCAATTTCTCTTGTAGCTTCCTCAAAGAACTCAAGTAGATTAGTTAAACAGGATCTACCTCTCCTAAATCCATGTTGGCTATCCCTCAGAATGTTATTTGAATCCAGGTAATCTACCATTTCCCTTGGATTATAGCTTCCATTACTTTTCCAGTTATGCAAGTTAAACTGATTGGCCTATAGTTTGCTGGATTACTTCCTTTTTTGAATATGGGTGTTATATTAGCATGCTTCCAGTCAGAAGGCCCCACACCATCAGATAAGGATTTCTGGAATAGTGAAGTTAAAGGTTGGCTAATGATATCCCTCATCTCTTTTAAAACTATAGGTAAGATGCCATCAGGGCCCTGCAATGTATTTATTTTGTGCTTAGCTAGGCTTTGTACCACATCAGGGTCAGTTATACATATATTTGTCATAGACAACGTTGTATTTGTACTAAATGGTGGCAAGTTGTTCGTGTTCTCTACTGTGAACACCCGTATAAAATAATCATTAAACTCATTTACTTGGAGAATCCATGCACATATTTCAAATAGTAATTGTCCCAAACATTTAGTTCAAATGGAACTGTTAAGGTTGGTATGATGATTCAGTGGGTGTACACTGTCACCTCACCTCTCCACGGTTTTGGGGTTCAGTGCTAACCCCCAGTTCTGCTTCCATTTTGCATGTTTTCTCCAAATTTGCATGTTTTCTCCATGTTTCGTCTGGGTGCTCTGGTTTCCTCTTGCAGTCAAAAACAAACAAATAAATAAAATGAAGCCAGAAAAAATGATATATTGGTATATGGTATATTATATAGTGGAATATTGTTGATAATGCCCATGAGTAGCCTTTCTCCCAGCCCTTCATCTACACAGTGACTGTATGTGATCAGGATGAAACTTAGTTGGAGAGAGTAGTAATACAGTAATTATTAAAATTGAATATGTATTTTATGAACAAGGTAATACAAAAATACCAAACTTTTGTATTTCCTTCTACCACTACCCTCTAATAAAAGAACAGCGTGGAAGATAGACGGATAATGTTTCTATTCATTTCCCATAACCTCTTATCCAGTAAAAGCCTGGAGTCAGGCAGGCTATGCAATATAAATCTCCCAGTTCACCATTCACTTGCATGTTTCTGGACTATGGGAGGAAGGTAGAGTAACTGGAGGATGACAGACAGGGGAACACCCTGGATGAGATGCCAGTATAAAAGAAAAAATCATTATACAAGATCAAAATACCTTGAAGTGTCTACTTTTTGGAAATTCAACCTTGTGTTCTCAGCTGATAAACTGAACTATGTTACTTTTCTCAAAGAGGGATTTATCTTAGTCATATTCCTAGAATATTTTTTGAGTATTGATTATGGCTCATCCTCTGAAAAAGGAGTCCAAAGGACACTAGCAAATATTACTCCCTCCATCAATGATCCATAATGCATAAACCTTTTTAAAAATGAATGCAGTCTTTAAACTGAAAAGGAAACACTAGAGCTTCTTAGAAATTTTGCTGAGCTATTCAACAAGAAATGAGGCGTAAACAAAAATATAAATGCATAATGGAATATAAACATGTTTGTCTACACCTCTGGCTGAGTAAGTGTAGCATGAATTGTGAACGGAATAGAAAACTATCAATTAATATATCAATCTAACAAATAAATGCTGGATTTTGGAAACTCTCAATCATTCATTTATTCTGCTCTCTATCCTGTTCCTGAAAATCCATCTTAGAAGAGTTAAAAATGACGCTGGATTTTTCTTATTTTGTAAGTAAAATGAGGATGAAATGGGCTAAATTAATATATATATCAATAAAATTAGCTGATGATGCTATGCCTCATATTTTAGTATAGCAAGTAAACAATCCAGCAATAGAGATAGAGATACTGCACGAAAATGCTGGAACTTGAATTATTTCTATCTAAGTTTGAGATAAACAAAGCCCTTTGGGATTGGAATTAAAGAATCGGATTGCATTCTTTCAGTTTTTTTAACCTATGCAAATGTATTTCAAATAGCCTTGCAAGAAAAAGGAATTTTAAAAGCTCCAACATATGATTGATAAAATGTATACATGCATTTCTCATATTCCCTGTCTTCTTTGGTCTATCAGGAAATAATACATAGCACATTGCTCAGTCCAAAGTGGAAATGTGATGAAATATTATAGACTGGTCCATTTTCAGCTTACTATTTCAGCTTCCATAAAATCAAGCTGCCAGCTATTTAGATTGCAGGTGTGATAAGAAAGATGACTTACAGCGCGCACAGATGGTCAAGGGAAGGGGGCAATTTCAAGTACTACTGGAATATCTTGTGTCGCAGGATTTTACAAAGTTAAAATGATCACTTTCAGCTGGAAAAAATATAAGCAAACTTAGCATACCTGCATTACAAGTGCAGCTAATCAGTTTTCTGAAAATCTGAATGTCAAAACATACAAAAAAGAAGACTGCTATTGGATATAATACAAGACTGACCGTGCTGCATCTCAAAGAAAGCAGGGAATGTAAGACAGAGAGGGCCGAATACCCAAAAGAGGGAATGCGAGCAAGTTTGAAAGTCTGAGTGCAATATGCAGGAAATTCAATCCGGCTGATGTAGAATTTTGATAGCAAAGCAGACCCTCATATCAGACCCTTATCCAGACAGCATTTTTTATACATGCAAAGCACCAATGAACAATACTTCATAAGTTTTAAGAGATTGTTTTCTGGGAGATCATTTGCAGGATTCTTGCTTTTTTATTTAAAGGGTTTGAATTAAATACTAGTGGGTCGTCAATATAGAAATATTGTAAAACTGTAATTAGATTTGTTTTTGTATATATTATGATGATACAGAGAAAATATATGTTGTCACACAAGCAGCTATATTATATTATATTATATTATATTATATTATATTATATTATATTATATTTATTATATTATATTATATTATATTATATTATATTATATTATGTGATAGCAAGAAAGGACCAGGAGACAGTTTCATCATCCAAGAAAAGCAGGAGGTTTATTATAAAAAAAGAAAGAAATTCAGGTTGCCTTCAAAACAAAACTGGCCTGCTTAAACTCCAGCAGGAGGGAAAATAAAACTTCAAAATGAAACCACATCTGCACTGAGAATTCTGACTAAGTAACCGCTACAATCTTATTGTATTGTATTGTATTATCATCCATCCATTTTTCTATACCTACTTGTCTTATGTATGCAGCTCAGTTAATTAACTGAATTAGTTAAATAAATTGATGAGGCATCCATTAGCTAAACACGGTAGAGAGCCAACAAATACAAGGATATGTTTGATGGTCACTGCAATTACTGAGGTGACACCTGGTACATAGGCTAGGCCTATATAATGCCGGGGTTTAGGAAGGAAAACCAGGTTATTATCTAGAGTGCGCACCACTGAAAATAACGAAATGAAAGCTTTTTTGAAACGTGTGAAAACGATCGTTTCTGTTTATGTAAAGTCATAAAACGCATGTAACATATCATACGACATTGTATTTTGTTAAAATACAACATGGGCTACAAACAAATGAAATAGGTCTGAAAATGGTCTGTTAGCCTACCTGATAGGCTACTTAGGCTATCACAATCATGTTAATATCGATTCATAAGTTCAAAACAACAGACATGAACTTTTACATTATAAGTGTGTATCAGGTGTACAGTAACACTGTTCTTTTCACGAAAAAAAAAATGTTGCTCAATCTTTAAGATGTCTAGGTCTCGTTATAATCTATGGCCAACGCAGCTCAGCGTAGTTTGCATACGCAGCTCAGAAGACACTTGTCTTCAAATTGTTTTAAAAACGTGCTTGATGTTGGAGTCAGTGCAAATATAATGACGAAGGGGGTGCGGGTATATTTGTTTCAGGTACTTGTTGATGGGAGTTACAGAAATGCAAAATTAAAGGTGATGCTTTTTTCGGCACCCGGCTGGCAGAAAAGGCGTCCCCTGTTAAATCTATAGCTACACCGGTGAAACTTGCACAGGTTAGTTAAAACTCTCACATATATAACTTACAAAAAGCCCTTGATGATGGGAGCCACGGAAATGCAAAATTAAAGGTAATGCCTTTTGCTGTTTCCAGTGGTCCGTGCTCTCGAGACAGACATGCATTCTACGGCAGGGATTCCTTTTCGGCGTAACTCCTGTCCCAACAAGACCGAACTTTCCGATGGCCAATCCGCACCAGCTGGATATACTGATAATGAAGACATCTATCAATCAAAAATATATAAATTCCAGGCACTGCTGATATTTATTCGTAGTCAAATTATATTCCATCCATCCAAACATCCATTTTCCATACCCGCTTGTCCTCTGCAGGGTTGCGGGCGCCCCGAGCATATCGCGGACTCACCGGACACAAGGAGTCGAATAACCCGGGACGGGGTTCCAACCCATCACAGAATGTTTTTTTATATAAGCCTCATATAATTGTGGAATTCAGATAATTAAGATACTACTGAAGTATATTTGTTTGGACCAACCTAACATTTTCACATAATAATAATAATAATAATAATAATAATAATAATAATAATAAACTAGCAGTTTATTAGCGACTCCACTTTTTTGACTCGGACGTTCTAAATAAAGACGGGTTAGAAAAATAATAGCTATTATATTTTACATTTTAGGATGAATCAGCGATGATTTCTAATAAGGTCAGACCATTTTCACGTTAGCGTTGATGTAGGCCAATTGCTGCTGAGATGTTAAGGAACTTGATGTAAATGGTTGTGTCTTTGCGGTTCTGGTCACGTGGAACAACATAAAACATATCACCAGTGTTTGCCTTTTGAGGATGCCGGAAAGTCAATGTCAAACTCTCTGGTAGCTCATCATTTCAGAATGCATAGCCCTCCTCTAAGCCATTAAAATGGTTTTTGTCTTTATGTTTTACCAGGTTTGACAATTTCTCTATAAACAAGTGGAGAATGTGCTTTCTCATATATGCAACTCTCTTTGGATTTTTCCTTAAAACAGGTAAGTTGCGATGGTGGATTAACTTTGCCTTTATCACTTTATCATCATAAATTGTGTTATGTTTTGCATGAATCTGTATAAATGTATAATATGGAGCAACAATTCTACTAAAATAAGTTTAAAATAGGCCTACCTTTTGTCTTAAATGTATCTATTTATTAGTCAGACAGGTAAAACAGACAGAATTTTTCAATGGTGAGCTCACAAAATTTGCACAAAAAACTACAATACTACATTAAATCAATACTACATGTAGATTCAGTTTACGTTTAAATTTAAAGCATGTCTATTTGACTTAACGATTAATCATAAAATGTTAACATTGTTATATTGTTCTCCAATGTGCTTTAAATTGAGTGATTGTTATTTCCTAAATTATGATATGTCTTTGAATTTGTTTTTATTATATATACCTGCAGCATTTGCAAATGTGGGAATTTGATATGACATTAAATTGAAATCTATGCTGATACTTTTACTAAAAAATCAAGTGACAAAGATTTTAAAAGGTGTGTCAATGACATTTGAGATGTAAATATTTGTTGTATAGCAGGTTTTAAATTATTTAATTGTTTTCAAAGTAATTCAACATTCTTGAGTTGATATAAAAATGGAAATTGGGCTTAAACTTTCAATGTGTTGACCTTATGTTAACTGTTAACTAGTTGTTTAATTATGCAATTGAAATTTAAATAGAAATTGTTTAAATACAACTATTTGAACATTTTTTTTGGCTTTTACAATTTCTCACCGTGTTAAACAATGATAAACAATGTAGCATGTAATGGATGCATAATTTTACGAGTATTTAACATGCAGTTTATTAGTGGATATGATTTCCCTGGAAGCTATAATACTCTCGTCCTTAAGTTTCTTAACATACATGTTTAAAACATACAATTCTAGTGTACATGTATGATTACTACATTTCTAATTAAAGAGATTATATAAGTAAGTTAATTGTTAGTCTTGATTACCGCCACTTTCAGGGCTTGCTCTGCAAATCCAGTGCTACCAGTGCGATGAGATGAAGCAGCATGACTGCTCAGCCCCAGAATTCATTGTTAACTGCACGGTTAATGTGCAGGATATGTGCCAGAAAGAAGTCCTTGTAAAGGAGAATGGTAAGAAAACTGTTGTTTTCTACATATTACTTGTTTTGTGCTATGTTATGAATTTTACTGAATAAATGGTTATAGAGGTTAGAAGAATAGATTTTTTTATCAGGTCTTTTTAATTTATTATCAACTTGATTTTATACATAACCGATTTGAATGGTTGTAATTTATTTTTTACAACTAAATATTTAGATCAAAATATAATTCAGTAAATAGGTTCCAGGAGGCTAACCTTATTTTTTTTTTTGTATAGTTTTATTTACCATTGTAAAGAATTCATGAGTAATAGTGTCACTGCATCATGTGGATCTCTGAGGAAATATATGGGACCATATATAGCAATTTCTATTTTAAGATGAAAAAGAAAGTTCAGAGGAAAAGTTGCAAAGACCATTGTTTTGGTTTATTTCTTTATTTCAAACCTCCCTTGCTGGTTGTACATCAAACTGAAATGTACAGATCCCCGTGACCACGATTCACTTGTATGGTGCTTTGAATAACATTACATTTACAGCCTACATTTAAAAGTTGGTATTCACTCAGACATTCTAGTTACTGCAGTTATTTTATTGCAATTGGTGTTTGTTCTTTCATGGACTTCATAGCCTGCCCTGTTATCCCTGAGGCATCAGTCATACCATATACTGGATATGTGGTTGGAAAGCAGGAATTTTTTTATTTTAATTTATATAATTCGTACATTCATACAAATGTATATAATAAATAAAAATGTGAACTGCTGCACATATATTACATAAAGAGAATGCAAATATATTCAATATCTTTTGAAAATTCTACTGTCCAGGCATTAAAAGTTTCCCTTCATAAAAGTCACAAATATTTTGTAAATTTTATAATTACAAAAGTGAAAAGGGTTTTTTAACCTTCACACTAATGCTTTATCTGTGGTTTGCCATGACTAAAAACATACTTTAATCAGACATTTAACATGTATAAAATGTGTGTGTGTGTGTGTGTGTGTGTGTGTAGTATATTCCTGAGAATACTGTTGTGGAAATGTAGAATCCATAGATAACCCCATATGGAATATGGAATAACTTTCTACTCATTTTGAGTTAGTGGGACAGTTTAACCTTGTTTATCCAAATTTATGTTTTAATGTGAGCAAGGGCACCTTGAAACCCAAATCCAAGACCATAAATAATTAAGTCTGGAATGTAATGCATCCACATGCATACTTCAGACAGCATACTTTATCTGAAATATGAAGCTTAGTTTCTAGCATTCGTTGCTCGATTTTTGATGTCTGACTGTGACATCAGATACTGTCTATGAGAGATAAGGAAAATGCTGGCAGTAAGACAGAGCTGATCATGAAGTTTGACTCTCTGAAGGTTATTTGCCTGTAACCATTTTCACCTATCATGTTAAACCCGTGATATTTAGAATTACCTTTGACTGAAGTGATCTATTCAAAATAAATTAATTAGTGATGAATTTTGAAAATAATTCCTTTTTGGTCAATCACTGCTATTCCCAAAGTCCCACCAGGAAAAGAACCCAAATTTTTCTTTTTGTTGCAGGTTCCAGTGATTGCTAGATTGACTTAATAAAGTTACTTCATATAAAATACATAATATTTATTATATACAACCAAATTTTCCATAAGCTTGAGAATAATATTAATTTATAGTAATTTACCATATCTTCAAAAAGTATTTAAGGTTTGAGAGGGCAGTAACTCATACTGCCACATATGTCTTGAAATCAAGCTGATGAGCTAGAATTTTATCAGCGTTATATTAGCATTGATTAGATATGCTTCAGTCAGGACACAGATCCATTGACGTGGGGATCTTAGGGTGGAATGGAAAATTTATTATGTTTGACAAACATTTGGTACATTAAAAACACTACCTGTTGTGAGGCTATACTAAGATCAAGATCTATTCTGGAACTGGTCAACAATCTATAGCTGAAGTGGCACTGACTATCATCAACCCTAGCCAGACATTGATTGATAGGCAGAAAAACAGAAACCCATTGATTTGATATGAAATGATGTAGCACTGTGGGTCACGACTCAGTACCCGTGATCGAAAAGTCTCTGCTTCAAATCCCATGGCTGGCAGAGTGACATCACTATTGAGTGATGCCCTTAACCCCGATTACCCCAGGGAATGGCTGTCCCAGCTCTCATCTGCATTTGTACAGCATTTTTTTTTTGACAAAAGTGTCTGCTGAATAAGTAAATATATCAAATTATAAAATTTTTGGAAGAGTCATCTAAATGATTAGAGAGGAAAAGTGAGACTAAATATGTTCCATATTTGTTTTTGTGTATAATATTCAATCCTTTTTCAAATATTACAAATAAAAGTAAGGAAATAGTGAAAAATACAAAAAGCTATAGTAATCTTGATACAGCTTGAGATTGCATAGTGTAAAATAGTAACAAGGTGTATAAGCTAACAAATGATATTTGGAATCTTAGTTTCGAATGCCTAGATACCCTATGGAAGAATCTGATAATTTGGACATATTTAAAGGCTCCTCTTGACCTTGATCTACACTAGTGGCCACAATTGTGGAAACACCGAATTTTTGGCATTATGCTTTATAAATTACTACACTTATATTGCCGGTAATGTTTATAAACAATCAAGGAATGTTTACAAATATTCAGTAGACGATTAAATAAGTCATTGGAGCAACTGGAATAATCTGTAACATTTGGAAGTGTTTCCACAATTTTGGCCACTAGTTATCATTTTACAAAAAAATTAAGAGATAACAGACTATTGCTATGTTTGTACTAAACAGTGCAAAGAACTTTTATATGATTATCAAGTTCTGCTTCTGAGCTTTAATCAGTGTGTCATCATGTCTTTAGTTTGGTTACTAACTGTAGTGAGAAAATGTGATCAAAGAAAGTAGAAAGGTTAATCAGATTCATAAGGTTACCATTCTGTGCTGGAGATTTTAAGACATCATGGGTACAATGAAAGAAATGCGCTCCATAGAAAAAGAAAAACTACACTCTGAGAAGAAAGTTTTACTGCTCAATGCTTACTCTACTACAGCTCGATGAGACAAAATTGTGATTCTCATTTCAGCTTCTATTTTAAACTCACTAGAAGAAATAAAGTAGACATAGGTGAACCAAAGGGCAGGAGTCATATTTGAGAAAAACAAGATATCTTGCCAAATTTGACTTATTAACCAACAGCAACTGAGCTAAACAACCCATACACATAGAGCTGGGGCAGATATTCAAACCCTGCTCTCTTGAGGTGTGCTAATCACCGTGCCTTCTTGCTGTATCCCAATATACACACTATTACAGTATATACCATAATATGCAGGGTCCAAGCACTTCAGCAACTATGGCCAAATATGGAGTCATATGAATTTGAGGTTAATGAGTCCCACAGTGACTACTGCTGAATATAGTTGCAGTAGTATGTATAGTTGCTGAAGCAATACTTGTAGTAGCTGTACAAACCAGCACAAACCTAGCACAAATGAACGGAAGTCTTTTTTTCTGATTATATGGGTGACAACTTCACTCAGGTATTTGAAACTGGCTGCGATGAGAATAGACTGAATTCATAAAGAGGGCTCTGTAAATTTTCCAATATACATCAAAATGAGATGCAAAAGTGCAACCTGAGAACTATTTTAGAGTTTGATGAGATCGCTTTTGAAAATGAAAGGGAGGCTAATATGAGATTTTGTGTCTTTTTGCTCTGAAGGAAAAAAAATGGGAGACAAGAGAAATAAGCCGTAGTCTCATTTTGGTTTCACATCAATCTCCTTGTTGTCTCCTTGTTGATTTCTTATTTTCCTCTGGGTATCTCTATATGCATGATGGAAATTGGTGTTTAATGTCTGCCATAATGAAAGTAGCGTGCTTGGGTGTTTTTTTTGTTTTTGTTTTTATCTCCGAAATTCCCCTAAATCATGTGAGCATTTTAAGTAAATATTCTGTTTGTAAATAATGTGTGTGTGCCTGCATGCATGTGTGTGTGTGTAACATTAATATTCATAATTTAGTGTCCCTAGTATTTACCCTATGACATTTACATCTTCCATAATAGCTTATACAGTTCAGCTTTCCAGCAATGCTCGTGCCTGTTCTTAGACACACAGGGCACCCTGGACAGGATGCCAGTCATTGCATGGCACACATTCACACATGCATCATTTAGAGATGCCAGTTTACATAACTGCATGCTTCTGGTGAACTGGAAGAGGATTGTGTGTATGGTACTCAGGTTTCGCCCTGCAAACACTGAAAATAGGCAGGTAGGAGAATTGGCACCTCCTATTTTTGGGCATGTCTTTTCATGGACTGGCATCTTGTCTATGGTGTTCCTCTGCCCTGTGCTTTCTGGCATAATCTCACTGTGACATTGTACTGGATAAGCAGTTGCAAGATGGACTTCAAATACATTTATTGCTTTTTATTTTTTTTAAATAACAGAAAGAAATAGTTTTTAAAAATCATCTTGCTTATCATCTTACCATACGATATAAATAAGACCATAAAGCAAACAGCTTGTCTTTATTGGGTTATGTTAAGATGTTTTAAGCAGTGGCGTAGGCAGAAATTGTATTTTGGGCGGGCCATTGAAAAAGTGAGCGGGCCTATATTTTTTCCTAGAAAAAATATTACTCAAATAATAATTAAACCTTAGAGAGTAGAAAAAATAATAGACAAACAAACTGCAAAAACACACCTTTATTTTGCAATATTCGGCAAAGGCAATAACAAAACACCGTCTAACCACCATGTTCAACAGTGCTCAATGAAGGCCTAAAGAAAATATATTCATATAAACCTGATTTTATTCGGCAATGAATAAATAAATCAGGTTTATATGAATATATATTTTTTAATACATTTGAATAATAAAAATAAACTAAAAATGTATTTTGATCAAACTTGCCTGGGTGGGCCAGGGAGTAATGTGGGCGGGCCAGTGCCGCCCTGGCCCATTACTGGCTACGCGCCTGGTTTTAAGTATTGAAAAGTAACAATAGTATCAGGAGTAGAAATAAATTGAAAATCAAATTACTTTATTTATTCCCAAGGAGCAATTAAGGCATGTGGCGTAGCACAGTAATCATCCACAAATAACAATAAATACAGAATAAAAGGACAGACACACATAAAAGGCATTAATGTTATGTGTTCTAATAAAGTTCCATTAAAAGTTCCATTAGTTTGATATCAAATCACCGATGATGAGAGTTGAGGAGCTGGTCAGCCCTGGGGACAAAGGTTTCTCTGTGTCCTGCAATCTGGACAGCAAAGCCTGCACCTTGAAGGGAGCCACTCAAACACTAGGATGTGCAAAATCCTGCAAACCGCTCTCACTTTCTGTTGTTCACAAAGGGTGGAGAGATTTCACCATGTGGCAGGTTGATTGCGTAGACCTACAATCATCAGTGTAAAGGATGAACAAAAGGGGGGAGAGGACACAGCCTTGTGGGAAACCAGTTGAGGCGAAGAGGATGTCAGAGGAGATGCTATTAACCAGCACTCTCTGTGACCTGTTAGCAATAAAATCTGTAATCCACAGGATACGTTTTTTGTCAAGGTGAAAGCAGGTGATTAGTCTCTCAGCTAGAATCAGTAGCTGCATGGTGTTAAATGCTGAGGATAAGTTTGCAAACAGGAATCTGGCTGTGGTATTGGTTTCCAGATGCTTGTTGATGGTGTCCAGAATAAACTTCTTCAACCCCTCTCCCAGCCCGGTATGCAAATTGAAGTGGATCCTTCAGAGATTCGGTTGCGTCAATTATGTGCTTTCTTATGACTCTCTCCGTGACCTTCATCACCAAAGAAGTGAGAGCCACAGGCCTGAAGTAATTCGGGACCTTTGTGGTGCCCTTCTTTGGAATTGGAATCACGGCAGAGTGTTTCCACATCTGGGTGACTGTACTGCTGGTCAAGGAGCTCTGGAATGGGCGCTGGAATACAGCTGCTCAGCACAACGCCCACAAATGTTAGCTGGCCCAAGAGCTGTATTAACTTTTGTCTTTTTGATGGCTCTTACCACCTCTTCTGTGTTAATGAGGGGGCTAGAGTCCCCGGTTTTGATTGTGGAGATAATTTACTCTAGCTGGGTATTGTTGTCCTACTCAGATCTGGTGAAGAATGAGTTCAGGTCATTAGGGAATGATGTCTGGCTACTGCCCTTGATCTGAATAGGCTTATAGGTGATAACTCATTTAAATAAGGATGCAATGGTATGGGTGGCATGATTGTTTGTGTGTATATGCATGTTAGAGGGTATGTCAGCTCAGTCCCGTCACTTCTGTGTCTCCACAGGTGTCCATTATCGCAAGTCGTGTGCCTCCTCAGGTGCCTGCCTCATTGCGTCCTCAGGATACCAGCAGTTCTGCACTGGAAGGTTGCATTCTGTTTGCATAAGCTGCTGTAACACTCCACTTTGCAATGGCCCGCGGAAGAAGACGCACCTTGTTCCCTCTACAGCACCTCCAGCTTTGATCCATATCTTCATCCTAAACTTCCACTGGATTTATTTCTTATTGTTGCTCTTGGAAACATAGAGTGCTTTAAGACTACGTTTGACTGAACTGGAATTTTTCTTGGCTTTTCTTTTTTTTTTTAAAAAAAGAGTACCACATGTATTGCAAGGTACGTTACAAAAAAGTATATGCATACATTTAGCAGTACAATAATATGTAAAAATAGATCTAATTTTGTGTACTATTAATAAATAAACACAGTTTTATAAAGAATATTTTACATGTTAAAATTTGGCTAAAATTATGAGAAAATTGGGCTGAAGAGCACTATGACTCCATCATTTATATATACTTATATGGCTTTAGCACCTGTATTATACATTTACGAATATTATATATAATATAATGATATTGTGCTGTTACTCTTGAAATTATATGGCTTTTTCATGTAGCTCCACATAATTTATTTAACACTGAAGTCATCCAATATCTATCAATACTATACATCTCATGTGAAACTGGAATATTGTTTGCTGGAAAGAAGAAATGCATTTTTAAAAAACAAATAAATAAATTTCCTGTATATTTTTTAATTAAAAAGCCCACAAGAAAGCATTGATTAAGCAAACAGCATAGCATGAAATGCATTCTCTTCCATTTTTTTGTGTGGAACACATTATTTATCGTGCTCTGCCAAGACATGTTCTGCGACTCTGATATCATAAGTACATTAATTAAAAGCTTAGAAACCAAAAAAATATCTTTAATGTATTTTGAATTTGAATTTTGCTTGTGTATTTGGCACAGACAACATTTAGAGCAAGATCAAAGAAATCCTGGATATATGTTTTACAGTTCAGTTTTGTGGGTAAGCAAATAAGGTTTTTCTTTTGGTATGTGTTTTGTGCAATTGCAGTTTATTTGAGCTGATTAGAGAGAAAGACCATATGGTTTGTTCCTACAAGCCCCCTTGTGAACATACTTCTTTTACAAGAATTGATTTTTAAAGATCAGTTACTCAAGTTCTTGAGTGATTTGAGTATTTTTCACCAGAGATATTGAATACCACAAACACTTTACCGGTAATGACCCACTTGCAGAAGTAGCTTTGAAAGCATATTTAGAGTATTAATTACAATGTTATTATCATGTTAATTTATTTGACACCAATTACATTGCTGGTATTCACTCACACAAACACATCAAGAGGCTTGGCGGGTTCTCATGTTAACAATGAAAGATACATACAAAATATGGGTTGTGTAGGGTATATAATGCCCTATATTTATTCCATAGAGAATGTCAATGATTGCATTTTATATTTTGTTTGTTTGATGAAGTTATAGTATTTAACTAAAGAACATAACATTTTTGTTTTAAAGAATTTTAGTTTGTATCGGAAATGAAAAATATATGGCTAAACAGAGTTTTCAGTTTAGTCTAAGACAAAATAGACTAGTATCAAACTGCTGAACTACATAGTTTGTGTGAAAACCAGATATGAGCTCAATTTAGATCAGTATCAGACTTCACTGTCTGCACACTGACTACTAAAGTTGATGGTGCTTGAGTCTGTCTCCGGTAGGATAATCGGATTCTGTGATTGGTCAACATCAGGACTTTGGAACGTGGTAAACTTGTGGGGCTTTTTACTGATGCGAGTGGAACATCCTTGATTGAGAAGGGCGTGAGAAGAGCGGGTAGAGCTGATGTCAGGTTGCCTTACGTGCCTTTTGTTCACATGCGTGATGGTCAGTTTGCAGAGCAGCACCTGGACGAACACCCGACGGAACTGACGGGAAGACAGGTTGTAGAGGAAGGGGTTCAACACTGAGCTGATGTAGAAGAAGGTATCAGATATTGGGTGAAGGATGACATAGCTCTTGAAGTACGGCATGGTCCAGTTTGCTTTGCTCTTGACTGCAGTCATGAGACGGCGGATCTGGTTAGGCATCCAGCACCCAGCAAGAGCAGCTACAATCAATACTGATTCATAGAAAAGAGGGTCGGATAGGGCAGAAAAGAGGGGGGGGGTAGGCAGATAACAGAGAAAAGTTAATATTCTTTTTAGTGTTATTGCTCAATTTTTATGTGATTCTGTTTGCTGTGCAAAGTAATTGCATGCTGTTTTCTTATTTTTGAACAGCTTGCCAAATATTTGTTATTTAATATATTTAAAATTATAATAATGTAACCTCATCATGTAAAACTGTATACTCATTATAAGCCGAAATCAAGTATTTTGACGTGTCTCTTTTCTGATGTGGTTTCCCAGAACATTTCTCCCATATGCATTTGGTGATTTAATCCTAATTCCTTATCAATCAATCAAGCAATCAAGCAATGATCGGTACAAGGGGGCCCAGACAAATTCATGAAATATATAATACATACATGGCTGGGGTCTAGCTGTTGACCGAATAGGCAGTTGTCAAGGGCCCCTGAATTATGCTCGTTGCAGAGGAAGTGAAATGATGATCAGTTTTCTGGGTGGAGGGGCTTCCCAAGTAAAGCTTTGCCTAGGGCCCCTGAAAAGGTAGATTCGGTCTTGCTGAGGACTCTAGCCCCTACCTCACCAGGGCCTGTAGCCTCTATCTCACAGGGGACTCACTGGGACAACTTACTTCACTGGGGCCTCGATGCTGTATCCTATAGGGGACTTTAGCCCCTAACTCTTCAAAGGGGAATGACTCCCCCATATTCTCAAAAATAAATGAATAAAATAACATTATAAATGTATATACACTTGCTGAATATTAACACTCAAATGACATTGCATAACTATTGAGGACGAAATGTGAGATAATCATAAATAAGTAAATCAATAGTAAAATAAATTTATTTAATTTTCAATTCCAAAGACCTTTTTGGTCTTTGCTGATTTGCACTCCATTACCTTGGCCTTGCTTGGATGAGAAGAAATGGTAGCCAGCGTTTATGTTCGTAATGTCAAGTCAACACTACACGACTTTCCAAGTCATCAGATCGCTATAATGTTTATATGTATGGGTTCCATTTGTGCCAAAAATATGTCAATAGGCATATGGGGTTCCCATTTGTGTATTGATGTAAAATATTTCAATAGCTCATTGTCCATGTCGATTGAAAATGTAACAAAACATTTGTCTGTGTCTATTCCACTTTGAACTGTACTTCAGCTGTGACATCTATTTTGACATTAAGATTGTCTATGTTGATTGCACACCTGACCAAACAACTTTTCAACTTTTAACTTCTGTCATTTTAGTACTCCCTATAGTTTGACTTGTATTGCATGTCGACCAAATATGTCAACACGTCGTCATGATGTGTCATTCTGCATATTGTCCTGATGTGTTGTCTGACTGTGCTATCCTGCATGTCATTTTGATAGGTCGCACTCCTTGTCATTTGACTGCATTGTTGTGCATGTCGTCCTGATGTAATGTTTGTCTGAGTTGTTTTGCTTCTCATCCTGCTTTGTTATTCTCCTTGTCCTTGACATCCCAAGTAGACTAATTCAAGTTACTAATTCAACTCAATTACACACAGATGAATAATAATAAAAAAACTATCTTTGAAATAAAAAATAAATATATATTTCAAACCAAAAATTATTCAAATAAATCTTTTGAATAAATTTTTTTTTTCTATAAATCTTTAATTATATATAAATTAAATACATTTCTATTGATTTATTTATTTACGATTATGTCATGTTTCATCCTCCATTCTTAACTTTATATAATTTTGTTGTAAATAATGCTTACCTCTACAAATAACAAACTATATGGCATATTAAATGATGTTCTGGAAAATCAGCTTCTTTGGTATTTGATACTAATATACAGACAGTGGAGAGATTTAATTTAGTTTTCATTGAGTAATTAAACAGATGTCACAGTAATGGTATATTTATATATCTTTTAACTGATACGAAATAGTTGGTTGAAAGAAGTCAAATAATCAAGCATTAAATTGCATCTTTGGCTCCTCATCTAATCTTTACATTTACAATAATCTTTCTCCTCATTTAGCTTCTATCACTCATCAAATAATGCATTTGAATATGAAAATTCTATCTAAACAGGAACAGCCTCAAAAACCATGATTGCACAGGTGTAACTGTATCCACAAAAGAGAACAGTTGTTACTAGTCAGGCTGAGCAATATATAGAAATTTTAAGATATATCGATATACAGTGGTACCTCGGTTCTCGAACTTAATCCATTCCGGACTCCGGATCGAATCCTAAAAAGTTCGAGTTCTGATCGAATTTTTCCCATAAGAAATAATGGAAAACCAATTAATTGGTTCCCAGCCCCCCAAAATTACACCTAAATATGTTTTTTTTACACAAAATGAACAGGATAAAACAAGAGCAGCATTTTTTTCTTAATGGCTTCCAAAACGATAAAGATCTTATCCCAACATTACCCCTGTCCTGCCCCGATCGTCCGCTCCTTCCGTGTGCCACACCCCCTCGTTAACCTCGTGTGGGATCCCCATGTGATAAGCTGTTTCTGGTTGTTGTCATTAGTCCTCTGTATTAAGTCTGTGTTTCAGTTTGTTTCCCCAGTCCGGTCATTGGGTGCGTTCGACTTGCTTACAGCGCTGACTTAAAGCAACGCATTCTTTTCTTATCCTGACGCAATGCATTACGGTTAGATGCATTGCGACCTCTCACTCAGCTGCACAAACTGGAACCGCGTCCGTGACGACACACCTTTGTCCTTATTGGCTGAAGAGTTTAGTTACACACATGACGTTTGTATCCCAGGCAGTTCCGTTGCGTAATCTGCTATTTCTCCCGAATATCACGTATAGCAGTGAGAACTGGTTTTCAGTTAATTTACCTGGTAAAATAAAGTTTAAATAAATGACATAAATGCTCTAATAGTTCACGTAAGTTAGTGGTTTATTTATTGTTAGTTACTGTAATGTTGCGCTGCTTTATTTGGTTAATCGTCCAGTCTGTGAAGAAAGCATTTAAGTAAGAATTGCATTGTAGTATGACTCATTTCTTGGCGCGTACAATTTATATTAGGTCGGCGTTCACGGTTAGACTTCTGATATTCAGATGGAGTTCTAGGTGAAACTGGTTTGTTTGACTTTCAAGAAATTCAAGTTCTAGTGAGTTTGAAAACCGAGGTACCACTGTATTGTCATATGAGATACAAGATGAGACAATATTGTTTATATTGATATATTTTGCATGTTGCAGGGCCGCTGTTCTGACAATTTGTCCTACGTTGTTGCATTGCCTTACCATAACACGTTTCGACAGATACAGATGTGGACAAATTTGTTGGTACCCTTCCACAAAAAACAAAAAAACACAACTATCTCTGAAATAACTTGAAACTGACAAAAGGTTAATGGCATCCCTTGTTTTTATTCCATCCATTGTCCAACCTGCTTATCCTACTGGGTTGTGGGGGGTCTGGAGCCTATCCTGGAAGCAATGGGCATGAGGCAGGGAACAACCCTGGATGGGGGGCCAGCCCATTGCAGGGCACACTCACACACCATTCACTCACACATGCACACCTAAGGGCAATTTAGCAACTCCAATTAGCCTCAGCATGTCTTTGGACTGTGGGGGGAAAGTAGAGCACCTGGAGGAAACCCCATGATGACATGGGGAGAACATGCAAACTCCACACACATGTGACCCAAGCGGAGACTCGAACCCACGTCCCAGAGGTGTGAGGCAACAGTGCTAACCACTGCATCACCATGCCGCCCCGTTTTTACTCCATATTTAAAACAAATCAGACTTTGCATTAGATTATTCAATTGTCATATTCGGTTGAATATTTGAAATATTTAAACAAATGAAAATGGCACGGACAAAAAAGATGGTACCCTTAGTTTATTATTTTGTGGCACCAATTTTTGTAGCAATCACTGCCAACAAGTGATCTGTACCTCAAAATGAGATGTCTGCATTTGCCAACAGGTAATTTGGGCCACTCTTTCTGAGCAAACTGCTCAAGCGACCTTCAGATTTGAAGGGTGGTGTCTCCACACTGCAATTTTCAGATCTTTCCATAGATATTCAATAGGATTAAGATCTGGGCTCATAGAGGGCCATTTAAGAATAGTCCAATGTTTTTTTCTCAGCCATTCTTGAGTGCTTTTAGCTGTATGTTTTGGGTCATTATCCTGTTGGAGGACCTATGACCTGCGACTGAGGCTGAGCTTTCTGACACTGGGCAATATGTTTTGCTCCAGGATGTCTTGTTAGTCTTGAAACTTCATTGTGCCCTGGATGGATTCAAGGTTCCCCGTGACAGATGCAGCAAAGCAGCCCCAAAACAAAACCGAGTCCCTTCCATGTTTCACAGTAGGTACGGTGTTCTTTTCTTTTAAAGCTTCATTTTTCCTTTTGTAAACATAAAGCTGATGTGACTGGCCAAAAAGCTCCAGTTTTGTCATCAGTCCAAAGAACATTCTCTGAGGAACGTTTGGACTTGTTAACATGCATCTTGGCGAATTCCACTCTGGCTTTTTTAATGATTTTTGGTGAATAGTGGAGCTCTTCTTCCATGGAGCCCATCATTGTTCAAAATATGGCAGATGCTGCAATCAGAAAGTGATGTACCTTGACCTTTGAGCTCAGCTTGAATGGTTTTGGATGGTTTCTTGACTCTTTTTCTACCATCTGCCCAGTCTTTCTGCTCAACATGGGGTTGCATTTCCTCTTGCGTCCACATCCTGGGAGGTGGGCTACAGTCCCATGAATCTTATACTTTTTGATAATATTGGCAGCTGTCACCACAGGAACAAGAAGCTGCTTGGAGATGGTCTTATAGCCTTTATCTTTAACATGGTTATCTATAATCTTCTTTCTGAGCTCCTCAGACAGCTCTCTCCTTTGCTTTCTCTGGTCCATGTTCAGTGTGGTGCACACAATGATACCAAACAACATAGTAGCACGTTCTTTCAATAGCTGATGAAAAGCTTGAACACACCTGTGATACTAATTAAGGTTAAACACTTAGGTCGAAACATGACTATAATGCAAGGATGAATAGTCTCTTTAGGGGTACCAACAAATCAGTCCATACTATTTTAGCATATCTTTGTAAAATAAACAACAAATAATTCCTTTTCACAATTTTATTGATTTACTCTATCTAAAGGCATGCAGGTATACATTAGAAAATTGCTTTTAATTGAATCACTGTTCAGAAGAAATTAAGCATTGTTTTAATGAGCTGTACCAACAAATTTGTCCACATCTGTATATCTATTGATCGGTGCTACCCTACCGAAAAATGCTACTGTCATTTTTTATGGGCTGAAAGTGAAAGCGAATTGTCCAAAAAATAATAAATAAGTAACTAATTAAAAAAAACACGAACTAGTGTAAACAGACATTATGACAGTCTGAAATACCTTATCAGGCTGTATTACCAGTGTTAGAACTACAGATAGCACATCTTGATAGACAGAAATACATTATCAGACCATCCTACCTTCATAAAATACTTGGGTATCCAATTTCGATAGACTAAAATACTTTATAAGGTTGTGCTGTCATAAACATGTGAGCAATACTGACATATTATATAGCCTACAGTACAAATGTCAGGTAATTAGACATACATCTGATGGTGAAGAGTGATAAATGAATTTAATAAAATATTAAAAATTTATGAACGTTGAAAAACACAAATAAGACTAATTACACAAGATTCAGCTGTAACTCCAACGGAAGGTAGAATAGATTTTTAGGTAGTTTTTCAAGCATGAGAAGAGGGGTGTGATTTCCTTGTGCGCACGCGCAGTACCTAAAGGCAGGACATTTCGATAGGTAGTAAATGTTCCCATGCATCTCTACTTTGAATATTTAAATGTTAAATACAGCCAACCATTCCCCTCCAACAGTCTCCACAAACATTAAATTGAATTATGGGGAACTATTTTAAAAATCTCTGTAAAGGATACATCCCTCTCTCCTTATGAGGCTGCTAAGAGCCAGGATGTCATCCTTGATGAGTAACACTGAGGCACAAGTGCTCTCTTGTCTAGATTACCGTGAGGATGTATTGCAATTCTGCAATTTTGCCCCAAATTCATTCAAATGGTATAAATAACAACTGCTTGTCTGGTTAGCTTATCAGTTAATGATACCTTGAGCCAGAGGTCATTCATCAGGACTTTTATTATACTTTACCTTTGGCTCCCCTTGTGGAATCAACACCAGTCAGTACTGCTGAACTACTTTTCATATTCTAATTTACGTGACTCTAACCTTAACCATAAGTAACCAAACAACCCCAGCGGCATTTTTAATTTTTTGGTTGCAGTCACAGATTTTTAGTTTCAGTTTCCCTTTGGGGGGACCAAAAAGGCGGTCCCCACAATGTCAAAATAATAGGTATTTATCTCATAATGTAATATATACATGACCCACCCAAACACAATTATTTATTGTGGTGGCCAGTCATGTTGGAGGCCAAAGGTTGGAAATACTGTTTTTTACATATCTACCCACACAGTAGTTAATTTATTGATACAGTGTAAAGTGCATTTTTAGTATGGACCCTCACATGATGTAGCTACAAATGTATTATCTCATAACTTTTGAACAGCAGAAATTCATTAAACAAAAAGAAAAACGGCATTACCTAGAAACAGGATGGTTTGCTTTCTGGCTTCCTTGACCTTTGAACTCTCATGCTTAGGTACGAATGTCCTACTGTTAGTGTCTTGTATAGTTGACTTCTTGAATGTGTTCTTGTTTGTGCTTGACAGCACATGGATCATTCTTTTGCACATGACTCCCACACTCAACAAGACGATGATGTAAACAATAAAAGCCACGAAGATGCTGGACCTGTAAATCCCCCACATGGAGGTGAGGTTTGTGCAGAAGGTCAAGTTCTGTATGAGCTCCTTTTCCAGGTGATATGTGCCATCTGTGAGAGAGGAGGAACTGTTCTGGCCACTCATCAGATCCCTGGGACCCTCTGTTCCAGTAGCAAACAACAGTGGAATTGCAACTAAAACAGATGTCACCCATGCAAAAATAATAAGCTTAATTGTGTGAGATGCTGAAAATGACTTGTATTTCAGAGGATGGCAGATGGCAATATACCGCTCAAAACTAAGGGTGGCCACATTCAGGATAGTGGCATAACTACAGGTCTCAAAGACAAAGTTGTAGATCTTGCAGGACACATTCCCAGAGGTGGATGAAAAGGGAAACCATATGGCACTATACAGTTCCACAGGCATGCCAATCAGAAGCACCAGGAGGTCAGAGCACGCTAAGCTTACCATGTGGTCAGTAACATTCTTCTGAAGGTATCCATTTTTTCGCAGCACCTGGGTGACCTTGATAGTTAAACTGTTCCCCACGATTCCTATTAGCAGGATGAAAATGTAGAGTACGGTCAAAAACACCTTGACTGGGGTCACCTGTTCCAAATCTTTCCAGTCTTCTAGCTTCAACTCTTCAACGATCTCGTACTCACGATCCATAACAAAAAAATAAACAGGTAGTATTTCCAACAAGTTAATTTCCTACTTTCTATTCAGTGGATAAATATACAGAAAAGTTCTAGATTTTTGGTACTTGATCATTTTTGAAGTGTAAGGCTTGTTTTCTCAATGTAAATTTGCTGTACAGAATTATAATAATATCTTCATGAACACGGTACGCTTAACACACACAGCATGTTTCTGACTTGAATATCTACCAGGAAGCAAAACCTGTGATTTATTTGTTCTGTAGTTAAACATTAATCTAAAAGCCATAAATGGAAAAGCTGTTTCTTCTATTGGTTATCTTTAGTAAAGTTTAAACTTGTTGTTTTAAGAGGAGGGTCTGCTGTGAGTTGGTTGAAACCAACCAAGTACAAACAAAGGTGGAGTTTAGCAAAACACTAGAGCAGTGAAGGTACTGTAGCAACTAGATGTTGTCTGAACAATAATGTTAATTTTGCATTACCCGAACACCCACCTCACTCCTCCACATCCCCTAACCTCTGTCTCTACCCCCCCCCCCCTCACACAAGGCTTGGGCAGAAAATAGTTTTTCATATCATCCATATGTTATACTATATCCTGGTATATGGTATTTTCATAAGCAAGGCTTTTCTGGTATCTTGGCAGGTGGTTCCCAACAATAAATTTAATTGAACAAAAACACTGTGCTATACTGAAACAATTACCATGATAACACCAAAGTCAACCCTACCAACTCTCCCCACCTCTTCAACACAATCTTCATTAAAAACCCAATTTTGTGTGACTTGTCTCAGTGTAACCAGGTTCACTGGTGTGGCGTAAATTGCAATCAACAACCACAGTGCAAATTGAGAAGGATAATTTGTCCCAAAATTAAATCAGGGATAGATAATAATAATAAAAATAATCAATCATCATCATCTATACTTTATTGATGCATGCATATAATGTTTTGTGAAGCAGTAATAAAATTAATCAAATATTTTTGACACACAAGGTCATTCACAAGGTCAAATGTTGTTTGCTTTAACCCTTCCCTTTGATGCCACTAAGCCACATTGCTTAAATTTTGAGGCAATTCAAAATGTATCCAGTCTCAGTTCATCACAGAATTTGTCTGCAAAGTTTGAAAAAGATCCATGAAATATTTCCATCAATTACGCTAATAGCAAAGTGTCTGCAGCAGCACTGGAACAGTCCCAAAACCACATGTATACCCCATTCAGGGAATAAAATTAAGCCTTTGTTGCATGAGTTAAATAAAGCAGCTACAACAAAGAAGCATTTCACTCAACTATGTCCACCAACAGTCTTTTTCCCTCAGCTTATGACATTACTCATTGATCCAAAATCGCACACTTTACAGTGCATACTGAATTTTGTCAGAATCCTACTACCTGACTGTTAATGTTGTACAGTGATGGGCAAGTTACTCTGGGAAAGTAATCCGATTACTGATTACTAATTACTCAGTTCAAAAGTAATCTAATTACTGATTTATGATTACTTCCATAAAAAGTAATCCAATGGATTACTTTTAGTTACTTTTTGTGACGGCCATGTATTTCCACAATACTTAAATCCACTTCATACCACCAGCAATTCAGTTCTTAAAGAAACAACAACAGGGGTCTAGTTAACACTTTATTGTTATGTTGAACAAGGCCAAAACAAGCAATCAACTTTCTAAGTTGAATATTTAATAAAAAATAAAATGCATCTTTGTTTTAAATCAAATAAATACAACTCTTTTGAACTGTTTTTGCAAAGTCACAATACATTGTAGGACTCATCAGTGTCTGGCCCAAACTCGTAGAAGTCCATGCCCCCACCTGGTTTAACCCAGTGAGTAGGTACTGTCACAGTCTTACCATCCACTGGAGGAACTGTACCACACTCTGCAATGAGGAGCTCCTTCAGCCGCTGTCTTCTGTCATCCCTCACCCAGCGAAGCTTGAACTGTGGACAGCTAACAGCAGCCAGGAGGGCATCCTTGTTCTCAAGAACATCAGCAAAACGAGTCTGAATGGCTTGAAAATATAATTTCAAATAAATATTTAATATAATATTTAGCTGTATCTTTACTATTGCTAAAAATTACTGAATATAAATGTTTTTTTTTTTTATATATATTTTTGGTCTACAAGTAATTAGATAATGCATGGGACATACCTTTACAATGACATCTGGCAGGCCAGCTGTCATCCTGGAGAGTGTATCTTTAGTGCTTAGAGTCTTTGTCATCAGGACTTCCAGTGTTGGAATAAAGGCACCATAGGAGCAGTTATCCTCTTGCAGGATGTCCAGTGCAGCTGTCAGGGGCTTCATTGCAATGCAGTATTCCATCAGGAACTGGTTCTCTTTTTCATTAAAGCACTTGACTCCTAACTTGTTGCACAGTGTATTTAGATCATTCATGGGGATTTCTGTGATCCTGGAAACAGCCTCAGAAAAAGAATTCCACCTTGTGGATGATGGCACCAGGAGCTTTCTTTGGCTGACTCTTCTACATGCTCTGATGCAGCTGTTGATCTACTTGCTTTGGTCCAAAGAGCTGTGCATTTAGCAATGCTAACCCTATATACAGCTCTAGTGTTTGTATTTTCATTTATGAATTTTTCAACATCACTGGTAGAAACTAGGTTGAGAGTATGTGATGCACAGCGGTAGTGTGGGGGGAGTGTCCGCTGGTTGTCCTTCTCGTTCACAGTGGAGGGGGCTTCTGTGATATCAGTGAAGGTTATGCCTTCCTCAGCCTCTTCTTCATCATCGTCTGACTCACTAACATGTTGGTATGTTTTAAATGCTTTAACAAAATTTGAGCCATTGTCTGTTACAGTGGCGACAA